GTTATTTCTGTCAGAGATGTACAAGAATCGTATTAATAAAACTGAGTGGGGTAGAGGGTTGGTAGAATGGGGGTAGAGTGGGGAAGAGGGGGTATAGTGGGACTAGAGTGGTGGGTAGAGTGGGAGTAGAGTGGGAGTAGAGTGGGGGGTAGAGTGGGAGTAGAGTGGGGGGGTAGAGTGGGGATAGAGTGGAGTAGAGTGGGATAGAGTGAGGCAGAGTAAGGTAGAGTGAGGTAGAGTGAGGTAGAGTGAGGTAGAGTGTAGGTAGAGGGGGTAGAGTGGGGGTAGAGTAGAGTATAGAGAGAGAGAAAGAGAGAGAGAGAGGTAAGAGGCAAAATGGCCGTATGCAATACCTTTGAGCAGTCTATATAACTATTTATACTATTATCAATTACATCAATCAGTGACAACCGTCGATAAAACTAGGCATTCCAAACAAAATGGCTGCCCGTTTGAAATTATAGGCCACTGACAGACACGTGATATATTATAATATGGCAACAGTGTGGGCCTGGTGATTTGATAGTTATATTAATTGTTTATCCATGTTTTTAAAAATGAACGTAAGCTTATGCCTTGAAGTAAAAATGTAGGCAATTATTTTTTTAAATATTCAAAGGCTGGAAATTGATTTTAAAACACATTTTTGCTAAACCGATTCAAATTAATGAACCCTTGCCAGGCAATATGGCAGCTCGCAAACAATCCACTTTAAGCAATCTATGTAACTATATATGTATCATTGATCCAGTCAACAGGCCCACTGGGTTGCCATATCTAAACTGTTAGTTCCACATACTTTTATTACTATACCAGGCAAGAGAGAGGTCCGACACGCCCAACATAGGGCGCGGCCATTTTGAACCCTGTGACACAGTTTACAGCTAAAGAATCAGATCGCTCACTCTGCGTCGGCACTTTTGATCTCAATGTTTCAGTTTATACACTGCGCAACTCGGATAATACAATATATGACAACCGCCTATAATAAAACAGCAGTCTTCTGCGTATCCTGAATTTGTATCCCTCCCTGGAGTGGATGTTATTTTGGAACTTTCAACTGGTCCGAGTGAGCTAACTGATTTTTTAGCAATAAACTGTGACTTCAAAAATAATATTCACTGACACTGACAGCAGCAAGCAAAATATCAGGTGCGTTTTAATCATCCGCTTCTGCTTCCGGAATTGTCGGTTTAGTGGTTTTAACCTGTCAGATTAAAACAAGAAAACCGACAATTCCGAAGCAGAAGCGGATGATTAAAACGCACCTATTAAAAATATTGCGCCAAGATGTAGGCAACACGTAATAAGGGTTCAAAATGGCGGAGTTTTCTATCTCCTTTTAAAAGGCACTCAGAAAGCTGCGCAGTGCGACCATTCTCCGTATAGTAAAAGAAAATCAAAGTATGTATGACCACATACTTTGGTCTTGGGAGAAATGAGTACTTCTATACATTTAAAATATGTGTGTTTCTCGTTCGTTTAATACAATTTCAGACATTTCAAATGATTCGAATGAGATTGGTATAATCGAATTAATTCGAATGATGGTAATAATCGAATGATTTACCATTCGAATGATCACATCACTACCACAAAACAGACCATCCAATCACTTTATGGTACTTGTGAGACAAAATGACCGGGTTAAATATCGCTTTGAGCAATCTGTATTTTGTTATTTAGGTTGCCCCTTCATATTCTACATAAGGAGCATTTTATGATATCTTTAGTTCATAAAATATACCCATTGTAAGTTTTTTAAATTAATACCCAGTATATTTGTTGTTTTGCAGCAAGCAATTTAGTACGGGAGTCTCATTTGTTATTTCTCAACCACGTTTCTAGAACAAAATACACTTATGCGCGATTTGGCACAGCTTCAATTCACTGAAAAGCTTCGGTCGAATGGAAACCATTACGGAATTTAAGATATCTGGGATTTCTCTATCTAAACACGAAATTTGTTTGGCTTTTACAAAACACACTCTTGTCTTTCTCGGGTGGTCAACAACCAGAGTGCATTAATTCTGGATTAAATGGTTTTCCTTTTTTCTTTGTTTTGCAACGTCCATTTACTTTACGTTTTTAGCTTTTTGTTTATTTTTGTAATGGAGCATTTTAGGATCCTTTCTGGATTACGGGATTTTGAAAAAATCGTTTTTAGTAAAAATGATTAAACTTAAGAATTTGTAAATAGTGCCGCAGCAGTAAATATTTTCTTTAAATATATCGTCGTTTTTTGTAAACTTCATTTCAATCTAGATGGACAACGATTGTTTAAGTAACAATGTAGATGGATAAATTTTTTTTAATATTTATAAATATTGATAGAAGAAATTAATCACTTGGCAAATGTAGATGATCGAAAATTATTTAAAATTCACAAATCTAGATGGACAAAAATTGTTTAAGCAACACTTTAAAAATCTAAATGTACAAAAATGTATTTACCAGTTTGCTATCTGTATCTGTAACGTATGGAGGTTGGGTTACCCCTACGGCACTGAGGCCTCACTAGGCCCATTGTGCATTCTTAAAGATGATAGGAACCTCCTAGCTCGTGAGCCAGCCTACATATTTAATGTAGTTGACAACGTGGCCAAGAGGTGCTTCTCTTATATGGGCTGATATTCGCCGAACACAAATATTTTAATAAATGAGAGCGTCGAGCAATCGTAAAAAGGATATGTTCAATGGACTCATCTTCTTGTTCGCATTCTCTGCAGAGTGCATATTCTGACAACCCCATGATATGGAGATGCTTCCATACTTGGCAATGACCAGTCAGAATGCCTGTGAATAGGTGCAGATTCTGTCTAGTCATAATGAAGTATTTGTTTGCTGCAGAGTTGTCAGGATAACTTAAGAGCTCCCTGGCAACTCTGCAGTTTCTTGTTTCATCCCATCTTTCCTTGAATTTCACAAGGGAATGTTCTTTAATTAGGTCTGTTACTATCGATTTTGTCAGGCCAGAAGGGCGTGGTCCAAAAAGTATTTGGTTGGCTGCTTTCTTGGCTAGTGAATCAGCAAGACGGTTACCTTTTGTTGTGGCGTGACCTTTGATCCATCTTAAGGTGACCATATTGTTGATGGATACTTCGGCCAAGGTTTCATGATATTCTAGTACTAACCCTGAGTCGTGGTCTATTCAGGGCGAGTAGTGCTTGTCTTCTATCTGTATAAATGAACATGTTCCTTCCAGTGATATTGTTTCTGGTGATTTCTTTTGCTGCTATGAGAATCCCCGTTAGCTCTGTTTGAACTACACTGGCACTATTGGTTTAAGAATCTGAAGTATATTTCACATCGTGAGCCTTGTTTTGTTTTAGAAACATCGGTGTAGATATGGATCGTACCTGCAACTTCCGGCTCTTCTATTTGTTCTGTTATAGCTTTATATAGCTTATGGAAGATATATCTTGGTGAGATGGAGTCCATGTTCGCTTGAAATAGTGGGAGCGTATCGAGCGCCTTCTGCCAAAAGCGACGTCTCGCCTTACCAGATACTACCTACCATTGTCATTATAGCAACCTCCTTAATGTGAATATTAAGGGGAGTGATACTTAGAATGACTTTCATTGCTCTGGTCGGTGTTGTTTTCATGGCTCCTGTTATGTAGAGACATGCTGTTCTTTGAATTTGTTCTAGTTTACGGATAGCTGTTAATTTTTGGGTTTTCGGCACCCATACAACTGCACCGTATATTAGCATAGGTCTAATGATAGCCGTGTAAGTTCATGCGACGACTCTGAGGGAGAAACTCTAGGTGCGCCCCACGGTTTGACGGCATTGTTCATAAGCAATGTATGCTCTTTTGACTGTTTTCTAAATGCGAGTTCAATGTTAACTTGCTGTCAAAGGTGAGACCTATGTACTTCACCTCTGTTGCAAAGTTAAGATTTGTGTTTAGGAGTTCTGGAGCTTTTAATACCATTTTCATCCTTTTCCTTGTAAAAAGGACCATTTGTCTCTTCTTAGGATTGATAGACAGTGAATGGTCCTTGCAGCACTGCTCTATAATTTTTAGAGCTACTTTCATTCTTTCGGAGAAAATTCCCTGTTTGCAGAATGACAAGGTCATCTGCATATATGCTCATTATTGAGGCGACTGACGAGGGTATAAAGGACCATGTTCCACAGTAGAGGTGATAGCACCCCTCTTCGTGGACATCCCATCGCAACCAAGCTTCTTATATTCACTTCTTTTATGTATCCATCCACTAACCGTCTGTGGAATATTCCTATTGGTTAGTGAGTGTATTATCTTTGTTTTATCAAAAGCACCTCCTATGTCTATGAAAACACCCACTCCAGACTCCTTATTGTCCAGGGCTGAATCAGTAGATCTACCTGGGGTGTATGAATGTTGGTTTGGGTGTAATGACCACATTCCTTATGTACCTTTCGCATAGCTTTTCCAATGTCTTCATGGAAAAGGATGTCAGACTAATTGGTTGGTATGTTTTTGGGACAGTGTAATCCATCCTTCCAGGTTTGGGTAGGAATACCACTTTTACCTACCTCCATTTTTTGGGGATATACCTCAGAGCCAACGAGGATCTGAATATACCCACCAGGTGCAGTGTAAGTTCTTCCAGACCCCACTGAAGTAGGGCTGGATAAATATCGTCAGGTTTTGGCGATTTAAATACCAGTTTGCCAATTTAGATAAACTTGAATTATTTACAGTTTTCCGATATAGCTGGACAAAACTATTTAATATGTTAATTTGTATTGACATAAATATCTATATTTGATAGTTATTGGAACCATATTTTGACGAATTATAAATCTAGATGAACGAAATGATTTATTTTATTACAAATCTAGATTGATAAAAATTATTTAAGTAACAATGTAGATGGACGAAAATTATTTAATATTATTTGTAAATCTAGCTAAACGAAATTATTTAAAATGCTAATTTGTATTTTTGTCAACTAATACCCGACATTAAAAGATCTGTTATTATACGGGGCAAGAAAAAACGACTTACCAATTCAAAAATTAGATCCTTTTCGTCCATCTGCCTAAGCTCGTGCCTGGACCTCCTCTGCCTTCTTAACGGCTGCGGACTGTTAGGCCCAGCGGGTAATTGGTTATCGCTGGTCAAGAACGTTGGTTGTCCATCGATGGTATTTATCATCGGCTTCAGCAACCCGCTTCGTTCGAATTCGTGCGCGGAAATTTTGCGGACCGGCGTCGTGGCGCCGGAACCGGCTCGCGATTGGTTGTGCGTCGGCGACGCCAATTCCACACTGGACGAAGTCGGGGTGGCGTGCGACACTTGCCATTGCTCGACGATTTGACGTGTGGCTTTCCTGGAACAATGAAAAAGAACGGTTTAGTCCAAGTCGTTCCTGCGATAATATACTCTTTTTTATTTTAACATTCGACACATTTCAACATTTCACTGTTATAATATTAACTAATATTATTTTAATATTATTGTAATGTTTATTTTATTATTTTTATTTATTTATTTATTTGCATTTCGGGTTTCAGACCATGCATACATTTTTTTTCGTAATGTTTCCCAATGCTGCGAACTTAAGTGGACACACTGTATACACTGCATGCTCGAGTGCATGCTATACTCATTTATATATCACATTTACTTATTCACTAATTTATATGGACAATATTAATCTGATCATAGCGATGTCTCAACTTGAACTGTATTATAAGAGCAAATGTGGGCTATTTATACCCATATGTGGCATTCCAGACGTTCTTAGGCTAGTGCTTCCACCATTTTATAGAATAATTAATACGTCAAAATCGTTTTTTAAGCGCTGCCGTAATCATTCTAGTGCATTCTAGAATGAATGATTCATTAACATACAATATTTCTTTCATATTAAATACAAAAATGTCCAAACATACAAAACAAACACTAATCACAGAAAAACGTATCTCTTTTTAAAATTCTTCCAGGTTTGGGTATGAATACCACATTTACCTCTCTCCATTTTTTGGGGCTATACTTCAGAGCCAATGAGGATCTGAATATACCCACCAGGTGTGATATGAGTTCTTCCAGACCCCACGGGCTGGATAGATACCGTCAGGTCCTAGTTGTTTAAATGGAGAGAAGCTGGTTGTTGACCATCTTATATTTTCATCGTCTACAATGTGTTTGGCAGTTTGCCAATCATAGTCAGATGCGTTGTATTCTTCTTCTGCCCAGTCGGCCACGTCTGTGATGACTGAGTCAGGGAAGTGTGTTGACAGCAGAAGTTTAATGCTTTGTTCGAGGTTGGCAGTTTCCGTGCCATCCTCTTTGATTAGCGCACCAATGCTTCGGTGTGGATCTTTTGAGAGAGCTTTTTGAAGCCTCGCTGCCTGCGGGAAATCTACGATTTCTTCGCAGTGGGATTTACATGCATCTCTCTGTTTTTGTCTGACGATTTTTTGTATTCTCTAAGGTGAGATTTGTAAGTATCCCAGTCCGCTATGAGTTTTGTGGTTCTTGCCTTATTAAAGGATTTGCTAGCCATCTTCCTGAGGTGATCCAACTCGTGACATCACCATGCGGTAGTCGTCTGATCGTATTGGACCTATATCACATACAGCGGAGCGGGTCCAAGCTGTACTGCCTCGAGATTTTCACCCAAGTTTAATGTTTTGCAGGTGGTTGATCCATACGTTGGCACACAATTTAAATTTTTACCAATGATTTTATTTTCGGATGGGGCAAATTTTTCACGAGATGCTATTATGAATTTTCACAATGACCATTTTTGGGCCGACGAAAATCCCACTTTATTAGAGAAAGTAATTTTTCAGCAATATTTTTCGCTGAACGTTTGGGTAGGAATTGTTGATGACTACCTAATTGGCCCATTCTTTTACTAGCAAGTTTAAAAGGTGAATCCTACATGGAATTTTTGCGAAATCGATTTTGTTAGATGTACTCCTACATGTAAGAGCCAACATGTGGTTTATGCATGACGGTGTTTCAGCTCATTTTAGTGTTCTTGCTCATCAGCATCTCGACATCACCTACCCTAATCGCTGGATTAGACGTGCAGGATCTCAAAATTGACCAGCACACTGTCCTGATGTGATTTTTTTAGATTTTTATTTATGGGGTCATCTGTACAAGATGTGAATGTCATAAGAAATACTCCAGGTATTTTTGAACGTGTCAGACAATCAATAAAAAATCGATTGCAGTCGTGTATTTTATCAGTAAGTGGTCATTTTGCTCATTTAATTTAAGGTCGAAATTGTTCATTTTTGGTTTTTATTTTATGTTGTCTATGGATAGTTTCTAGAATGAGTCGAAATTATTTTTTTTTCTCGAAAACGGAGCTAGATATGAAGAACACAAAAGACCAAAAAGCAACTCCAGACATATGTTCATAATAAGTTTCTTTCATAAAACGTCCTAAGGAATCACCCTCTGAAGTTTCGTACCGTAATTAGGAAACACACCCGTATACTTTCGTATTTACTATTTTTTCGTATCTACAATAATAAAAACGATATCAAGTAGTTATGCACTAATGGGAGAGCCCGGTAGTTTTTAACAAATTAATGATTAAAAAAAATCATGACTAAGCACTCCCGACGTCAAAATAAAGCTTACTGGCATTAAATGTTATTTGCTTTTTGATTAAAATTTTTGAGGTTATGTTATTACTAGAATATTTAAGATTTTCTCCATGACAATACTGTCCATTGTCCGTTGGCTCAACAGTACATTTCCATGCAATTTCATGCCAAGTTCTGGGATCGATAGGTAAGTCCCTCATATTCTTAATTTAGCAATATTCAGTGAATTTGTCGGATTTTATAGCCATTTAAAATCCAGATTAGTACTAATATAATATAAAATTTGGTTTTTAAAAAAATATTAAATGAATGCATTTATAAATGCAATAAATCTAATTAAAAAGCTGCTTACAACCGATAAAGAATTAAGAAGACAATTAGCTCCGTATTTACTTGACATTCAGAAAAGTAATCATTTCTGTTGGCAACCATTGCTAATTGGGTATTGTATTTAGCAGCCATTTAACAGTTTCAGTAAATGCTCGAAATATGCCAACACTAAGCAACAAAACCAACAACAAAAACAACAACAACAACAACAACAACAACAACAACAACAACAAAAAAAGCGGAGTGAGTATACAAGGTTAGTCAAAGAGGAATAATAGATACAAATATTTTAGGAGGTTATAGAACAATGAAATTTAAGGTCAGTTTGTTATATAAACTAATGTCCGAAACTTTGTAATAAGGGAGATAAAGCAATTCAAAGGGGAAATAGCAACTTTCAACCAAAGCAAACTATCAACTTCTCAAATTTCATGGAGAACTTAATAGTTTTATATCATTTGATTTATTGGTAAAACAAAATATTTTTTAGAAGATAATTTTAAGGAGGGTTGTGTATCCTTACTATTTTCTTAAATTTAAATTGTTTTAGAATAAAAAATGTCCATAGTTTTTCCTAGAAAAAAAGGCATTCTTATTTAAACGCCATAGAGTGAACCGTTTTTGAATAATTTGACTACTAAAAAGTATTTGCAGACTAGATAATTTGTTAACGTAACATGACAACAGCATTGCAAAATCTCAAGTTTGATCATAAAACTACAACAAATGTTCAAACTGTCTAATATTTTGTTCAATACATAGGTTTAGTCGTCGTCTCAGAGAAAACATAATTCGGTTTAAAATCTGGTCATTATTCATTAACGCAGTGCACTCATTTTCTATCTGCTTTCTTAATTCTACTAAATTATTAATTTCTGAATTATAGATCGTAGACTTTAAATATCCCCACACAGTAAAGTCCAGTGGATTTAAGTCTGGCGACCGAGTAGGCTAGTCAATGGATGCATCTGCACCCCTACCTATCCATCTGGCAGTACAATTTTGATGTAACCATATTCTCGCAGCCCTTGTAAAATGGGGCTGAGCCCTATCATACATGAATATCAATTCATTCCGCATTTTCAGAGGTACATCTTCTAAAATTTAAAAGAGCTAAATTTCCAAAAAAAAACGTAAATACATATAACCATTCAAATTGCAAGTAAAATAAAAAATCCAAGGAATCTATTAATCAGTGTCGTTGCCCAAACATTGACTTTAAATGTATGTTGATAATGGTATTCTGGCACAATAAAAGGATTTTCTTCAGCATGAAAATGGGAGTTGAATATATTGAAGAAGCCTTGCCTTGTAAATGTAGCCTTATCGGTGAACATAATTTTATTTAAGAAATGTGGGTTTCTTTGTTTTTTCAAACATTGTCTGACAAAACTCCATTCTGGTTGGTAAATCGAAGAAGTTGTTGAACTTTTCGAAAGTGAAAACCATGTAATAATCTAGTTACAGTTGATTGCGAATTACTTGACCTTAAGGCTATTTGTCTCGTGCTGACCGTTTTTCTCAAAACTGTTAAGAAATTGTTATTTTTTACTTCTAGTTTTTCTGGTTTTCTAAATCGCATTTCAACGTTAAGAAATGTCCTCGAATTTAGTATATTTCGAAGAGGAAATTTTACTGCATAATATCTTCTGATTGAAGCATTAGCATTCACCCAACGTAAGTAGCATTTCGGTATACTTGTCAAATGTGTACAAGTCTTAACAAAAATAATACTATAACTCTGTTTTTAAACTAAGAGGAGCGATTTGAATTTAAGTTGGCAATTCTGTAGCCTTCTGATTGGTCAGATTACAATCAGCTAATAATTGATATTGTTGACAGTTCTGACATTTTATAATTTGATATCTCATCCATTACTTAGTTTTTTACTTTATTTCGTAAATAATAGTTCTTCAGTAAGCAATTGTATTGAAAATTTACAATTATGGATCCTTCTACACTGAGTACTATTAAAGGTAGCAATTCCTGAAAAGCCTTACAAGAAAGGGAAGACACCTTATTATTTTACATGCTGATTCTGAAGGTTTTGTAGAAAATGCATTATTAGTTTTTGAAGGTAAAAAGATGGGAGATTACCATGCAGAGATGAATTCCGAAGTATTTTAGAAAAACATTTTATTACTGATTTTTTAAAACTAAAAATTGATGAATTTCTAACCAAAATGATTAAAATGTAACTAAATATTTAAGCAAATTTTATTTATTAGAATAGAATAAAACTAAGTATTTACAAAATTGTTATAACATTTAAAACACCATCTACTACTTTAGGGATAATCTTAATTTGGCACAATGAGTTAACATTACTTTCACAAAAAATATTTTAAAAATTCTTAAAATTAATATATAGGTATGTATGAATAGTTCACTTTAAAAAATATATGTTGACATGTAGTGTTATGAAAATGTT